TATATATATACTGTATGTATGAATGTATGTATGGATGGATTTGTGCATGTATGTAATAAAGTAAACAGACTACTCTGATATCTGTTGCAGGGTTTTAGACTAAGACCATTTTTTGATATGAAGGGACACATTTTCATTCGTTTGATCAAACCTTTAAAATAAGCTGGTGATCTCATGAGATGTTAGCACTCAGTGATTGTGTTTAGGATGGCTCTCAGCTACTGCCACATCAGACTTTAGCTCAGTACGTTAAATCTGATATTATAACCATTTTTCTTCTGGCTGATGTCAATCAACTGTGTCAGCCATCTTAAATTGACTTGACTCCAAATGAGTTATAGACATAAAACATCCAATGAATCATTTCTGCAAGTCTGATTCAAATCCAGATATTGTTAATAGACAGGTTTTTCAAATTTTAACAACAAATCTCAGCTACAGTCACAACAAATTTTAATTTCAATATCAGTAAATTTGACTTGTTATACTTATTTTTGTGTTTGCTGAAGTCCATCACACATATTTACTTGAACCTGAACATTTGAGCTTCTAAACTTTGAAAAATGTGATGTTCTGCTGACCCCTGGTGGTCCTGATGCAAACTACAACAACTAATCCCAAATTGGGTGGAACAAGATACAACTTTTTTTTCTTCTTGTTTTTTCCAGGTGCAAGTATGAAAGTTTTTTTCTACTTTATTTAACAAAACAATCAATAAGTATAAATGTAAATTAAAGATTCAAGAGGGAGTGTTTATTTTAGGATTAATGTGCACTTGTTGGTAATTCCTTTAACGTTTCATACAAGTCTTTACGTTTCAATATACTGTATTCCAGAGATTTCTGATATGATTAGAAGTAATTTTTAAAAAGTGTTAAACACTGACGATAATCTTGTGACTTTTTTGTTTAAAATATTTTTTTAATTGCAAAATGAAAGATTAGGTTACAACAGAGTTCATTTTTATTTATTTATTTATTTATTTATTTATTTAGCTCTTTAATAATACACCAAATGTTATTATATTTCTAGGAATAGATTCAGGGATTTTTTAGAACAACTCCCTGAGCTCCTCCACTTCTGCACGGCTGTTAGAGCCATCTGTCTGAACCCATGCTGAAGAGAAACAGGTGGAGCGGGTTTCTTTTAGGGTGAGCATTGTGTTCAGATGTGTATAAACTACTTTTAAAAAATAACCAAGTAAAAAAAAAAATACCTTAATAGAAAATGACATTGGAAAAATGAATTTCACTGACAAGAAAAGTACTTACTGTGAGTAAAACTCACAACTGCTCTTAAAACTGCTCATAATAATTGGGATGATAAAAGTTACCTTACACACACTCTAAGAAATGACCAAGCTGAACAAATTGCTTTGCACTTACTCATTTTTGTTTGATGGGACCAGTTGACATAACTTGGTTAAGTAAATTCAACACTTCATTTTTTGAGAGCATAAACAACTCCTTTCATGATGAGTTCAAGTCATATTTAAATTTGTAGCTCATAACAGGGTGTTAAATTTTAAAGTAAAGAAGTATATATTTTTGTTTTGAATAGCAAAATGAGAATGAATGTTAGAATTTAAAAAAATACTTAATCACTTACTGTAATGAAGTAAAAGTACTTTGTTACTATATACCGCTGGAGTTCAGTTTGTCCTGCAGACACATCTCACACAGGAGCACACCGTGGGGGTGAAGTGACACACCTGCCATTCATTTTTCATCAAACACTTACAAGAATTTGTCTGTTTTCTGTCTTATCAGTTTTAATTCCAACCACATCCTAAAGAAACCGCAGCATGACTGCAACAGTTTTGACTATATTCTCTGACAACACATGCAGAAATAAATACAAACTTTACTTTTGAAGGTAAAGGAGACATTTTTAGAAATGAAACTAAGCTGCAGCAAAGCAGAGTAAATCAAAGGTTTAACTTAGAAGTCTAGCAGAAGATGAAAGCAAATTTGATTTAAAAAACTGTTTATTTATAACAATGCATTAGGGTTGGGCAATATTGGCAAAAAATCAATCACGATTAATTGTAGTATTTAGCCGATAACGATTAATTTGACGATTTATGCCCTGGAGTCCCTGTACACCCTTATGCCCTGGTCACATGACCAATTTAGTGGGCAAGTTTTGCTCTTTGTAAAAATCTGTTCCAAATTGTGTCAAAATTACAGACTTCAGGCTGTACATCAATTTTAAATTGTGTTGATATATAAATAAATTAGAGAACTTGTTTTTAATGTTCGTCACATTTGAAGCAGATTGGAGAACYGAGCAGACTGACTGGAGAAATGCCCCTGGTGGCATTAATCATATTAATCGTCAAGTGCCAAAAAATAATCGATTAATGTTCTACTGACGATTAATTGCACACGATACGATTATGCCCAACCCTACAATGCATTAGTGTTGTATACTGTACACTGAAAATGGTAGAAAAAACACAGGGGTGACACTAAAAATCTCTATAAAAAGCCATGATGGTGTCAGAGGTTCAGACTGAGTGTAATGCAGCTCATGTAACAGGAAACAATGGTGTGTTTTCACAGTGTCACACTGGTATCCACTGGCAGAAACTTAGGAGAGCAGCTGGTGTTCCTGCACCATAGCAACACAACAACACAGTAAAACTGTAAACTTTAATCTCCTTAATCAGAGTGTTTGTCTTGGTGTTCCACTCTACAAGTTACTCCAGGGACTTGGTGTGCAGGAAAAAGGAATAGACTAAGAGAGTTTTGTTGAGATGATTTTGATTATGTTTTCATTCTCAAGCTTATCATGTTTGTGTAATCTTCTCTCATTGATGGTTCTAGTTTAGCACAGCTGGTGTTCATCAGCTCTTGGTATTTTTCAGTAATGGTCCATATATTTGGTTGTTTTTGTGTCTGATCATTTTCTTTGTTTGCTTTCATGACTTTTTTAATATATATTGTAGAGTGTCTAAATATACTTAGCACAAAAAGTGAGAAAATTTGTGTTTTGTATATTATTTCTTTGTTGGAACATTGCTTCTTGACAACAAATCTTATCCCATTGGCAAGCCTGTTACTTTCTCTTTTAAATGGTGGCACATTTGTAAGGAACATGCATTTGTGGGATGAGCAGTAGAGCTGAGTATGTGGGTTGGGCACAAGAGAATTTTTTTTGCAATATCTTCTCTGCCAGACAACTTATTTTGTTGTCACTGACACTTGTTTTGAGCTTCTGGTACACCCAGGTGCTGCCAATCAGGTGCCTAGCTCAAGATGTATTGCCAAGATGTATTGTTACAACATACAATCTACCAAACACAAATTGTCTTATTTTTTGTGTTTATTGCAGATGAGATGTGGGGCTGTTTTCTGGGATCTGGCTTATCTGAGCAAAAAGAGCTTTTCCACCTCTTAAAAGAGACAAGCTGACTCAGAACTGTTGAAAACATCATTAATACATTTCTGCATCCCACCTCGCAGAACTTTTAGTTCAGTAGTTTAGTAGTTTAGTCTCTGACACCTTGCTGTATGTGACGCCTCCACCAGTGGCGTCAGTAAAATATGCAAAAGTTGTCCTTTACTGCCTTTGTCGGCTGCAATAACAGACACATCATGATGGGGACTTATGAATAAGCTGCAAAGTGTGCGTAGATGCTACTGTTGTGACATCATAAGGCTGGAGAGACTGTGCAGTAGTAGAGATGCAGAGAAGGATGAGACTGGTAGAGAGTGAGGATCAGTGTCTGACTTGTCCACACATCTGTAATACAGTTCCAGAGTTGATCTGCCATCTATTTTCTTCATTTACAACCACTTCAACACCTATAAACAAAATCAATCTATTGGGTCTTCCATCCATCCATCCATCTTGACCCTTTTGACCTGATCCGGTTCAGGGTTACAGAGGGAAACCTGGAACTTATACCATAATATGCAGCTCTTCCTGTTTGAAATGGGAGCTCCACTAAATGACTGGCTTGGCTCATCTCTCCAATCTGCTACGGAGGACTGAAACTGACATAATTAAAATTAAAATCAAAAATTTACAATATGTATGGTCCAACAAATAAATAAATAAATAAATAAATAAATAAATACACTTAAAATGCACCAGTTACTTTGAGAAATTAGAACTTTAGTTGAATTAACCTTCATATTTATTTCTCCAGCTTAGTTCTACATAATTTACATTTTACTGTTTATGAAATTTAATTTTGTTTTTCCTTTTACTTGTAGATGCACGTGTCGCTCACTTTTTTTTCCATATCTTTTTATTTCCATGTGTTTTTACATTTTTCTGTCTCCTGTTTTTTACTTTCCCTTATGCATTTCTGCCTCAGGTGACGTTAGAATCAGTGGATCTACTCTTAGTCAATAGACAGGAAGGAGCAGCATCCATATGCAGGTTAACAACTGGGAACTTCAGTTCCTTTTAGTGTACTGATACTGACAGTACATTACAACAGACTGTTGTTCCCTTATATGGATTAATGTTCAATGCTGGCTTTAAAGCTGCATACACTTATTTTTAAAACATTAATACAAATTAGAAGCTCTTGCAGGCCACATTTAATGCTGTGGACAGCGTCGCAATATCAAAAACAGTGATTTTAATGTTTTGGGGATTTTTTAGTGCACAACTCTCAGGTGTTTCACATAACTTAGCTTGTGAGTTTTAACAAGGCCTGGTAACACAGAAACCAGCAAACCATAAAGTAATAAAAGTCAATAAAAGTACAGTACAAATACAAAAGGCATGTTTATTGACAGGTGATAATGTCAGGAGGCTTTCTGAACTGACTGAATGACCATGTAAAGAAAAACATTCAGTAAAACTAAACAAAAAAAAGGGTTGTCGGTTTGGAAACCGTCTCATACAGTGCACGTTCAGCCTGCACACACAGGCTGAGCTGTTCTGTGTAGCTCTGAGGCTTCTTAGCTCCAAATATACAGATTAAATAAAGCTTCCAGCACAAGATCTTCTTGTCCTCTTTTCAACCCTAAATTAAACTGCAGCTTGAGGGAAATGTGGGGCACTTCTTGCATTGCTAATGTAGGTAAGTAACAATATTCTGTGCAAGCTAAGGTGAACACGTGGGATGACTGTTGATTACGTGGCGCCGATAATGAAACACTGTGAGAAGCTGTAAACAAAGTAGCAGTATTACGAGGTGAACACAAGCCAGCTGCAGTTGCTGTTGTACAATGATTTGTAAAAGTTCATGGACTTGTCTTTTATTTTTCTAGAGCAAAAAAACAGAGCGTAGCTTCTTCCCTCGGTCCCTTTCCTCCAACATTTGTGTCAAAGTGTCTCCTCCTTAATGCACCAGCCTGACTGGCTCTTATCACTGGCTGCCAGCTGGCGTCACCGCTTATTCCTACATAGCAACAATTTATTTTGTGCTCTGCAATCAGTGGGCCTCAGTGACAGGTCTGTTGCTTCACAGCAACCAAAAAATAAGTCCTCATCAGCATACAAGCAGATGAACATTCCGATACATTTTTTATCCTAAATTCAGTTCCGTGTTTGTTTTGCCAAAGTCTCTTTGAAGTTTCAAACATGGCCGCTCTTCAGAAGCAGAGGAGAGACATTCGTTGTTGCGTTCTTCCTGTTAGACCTCCTTGCTGTCTGAGGACTGCCTGTCCCTGCTGTCAGAGTGAGACTAAAGCCTGCAACTGTACCAGCATGTTTACACATTACCCAGTCCTCACACAGAGTTGGTGTGTGTTAGCTCTGCAGAGTCCTCTGCAGAGGTTGTGTGCACCGCTCTGGTGTCCATCATACTGAGCTTCTCTGTCCCATTCCTTGGCTCTTCCCTCTGTTTCTGGCAACACCGTCTGTACCTGCGACTGAGAGAAAAAAATAATACTACAGAAACTCTGAAACTGAAAATGACAAAGAAACAAAGTTACTTTGAATGGTTTTAAATTTGACATTAATGGGTTTTGAGGGTCAGTGTGGATTTATATTTAGGTTGTGGTAATTACTTCAGCTGAAGCCTGCTGGACTCCCACGCCAATCCAAAGTCCAGCAGGTCCTCTAAAATCACTCCACAGTTTTACAAGAGCATTTTAATCTAAATTAGATTCCACAAAGCACTTTCAGTGTTTCTTTTTACCAATTCACACAAACTCTGTGCAACTTTTTGCTTCAAGTGGATGAGTTTAGCTATCTGGGTGTCCTATTCACAAGTGATGGTAGGATGGAACGAGAGATGAATCAACACCGATTGGGGCCTTGTCCTCAGTAATGAAGATGTTGCTTCAGTCACTTGTGGTGAAGAAAGAGCCGAGTCAAAAGACAAAGCTCTCGATTTGCTGGTCTGTCTATGTTCCAACCCTCACCTGTGATCATGAGGCGTCCATCATGATCGAAAAAAAATGTGATCCAGGATACAAGATGTTGAAATGAGCTTTCTTCATAAGGTGGCCGGGCTCAGCCTTAGAGTTTACAGTGAGGAGCTTTATCATCTGAGAAGAGCTCAGAGAAGAGTTGCTGCTGTTTCACATTGAGAGGAGTCAGTTGAGGTGGATCAGGTATCTGATTAGGATGCCTTTTTGATGTCTAAAGCCTCCCTTTGGTACGTCCCACTGGTAGGAGGTCCCAGATAAGACCCAAGACTCGCTGGAGGGATTGTGTAACTCAGGGATGGGCAACTTAAGTAACGGAAGGGGCCATAAATATTTGTTGACACAACCAGAGGACCACATAGTGCTGCACAATTACACAAATGTAATAAAACTGCCAATTTAAAAATGTTTGTTTGTGTAAAATGTATGTATGTGTTGTTAAAAATGTGTGTATGTGTATATTTATACACACACACACACACACACACACACACACACACACACACACACACGCATACACACACACACACACACACGCACACACACACAGTGAAGCATAGAAAAAATAAACACTGACTTTAGCAAGCTGAAGTGTACAACATAAAAACTGAGTGCAGACTCCTGTTTGGCGAAAGTTTATGCAGCCTTGTGAATTTTCCTGATTTACCTTTATAAACCATTGATTGTTTGGATTTTAAAAAATCAGTATAATAGTAATAGTAATCAGTAATATATCAAATAGGGGACAAACACAGTGATATTTGAGAAGTGAAAGGAAGTTTAAATGATTTACAGAAAGTGTGTGATAACTGGTTAAGCAAACACAGCACTCCAAGAAAAACACCTGCTACCTTCAGTAAAATGTAGTGGTGGTTCCATCATGCTGTGGGGCTGTGTGGCCAGTACAGGGACTGGGAATCTTGTTAAAGTTGAGGGATGCATGGATTCCAATCAATATCAGCAGATTCTGGAGACCAATGTCCAGGAATCAGTGACAAACCTGAAGCTGCTGAAGCCGGGGCTTGATCTTCCAACAAGACAACCACCCAAACACTGCTCAAAATCTACTGAGGCATTCATGCAGAGGAACAAGTACAACGTTTTGGAATGGCCATCTCAGTCTCCAGACCTGAATATTATTGAAAATCTGTGGTGTCACTTAAAGAGAGCTGTCTGTGGTTGGAAACCATCAAACCTAAATGAACTAGAGATGTTTTGTAAAGAAGAATGGTCTAAAATACCTTCAGCCACAATCCAGACTCTCATTAGAAGCTATAGTAAGAGTTTAGAGGCTGTTATTTCTGCAAAAGGAGGATCTACTAAATTTTTAAAATTAAAAATTTCTGGTGCCCAAATTTATGCACCTGCCTAACATTGTTGAACCAATTATTGCACACTTTCTGTAAATCATAAAAACTTCATTTCACTTCTCAAATATCACTGTGTTTGTCCCCTATAGGATATATTTAACTGATTTTTTTATCCAAACAATCAATGATTTATAAAGGTAAATCAGGAAAATTAACAAGGCTGCCCAAACTTTCACACCCCACTGTACTTGCCACTTCAGTAAACCACTCATATTTAGCTTTGTGCAACATGTTGCAGTGGTGACTTGTATCAAAATCCTTCATAGCAAACTGTGTCTTGAAGCAGACTAAACACAGGTTTGTCTTTTTTTTTACTTTACTTTAAAAAGCACTCAAAGCAGTTCTTGGATTTTAACAACTGCTTTTAGTATTTCTTTTTCCCTTTGGGTGGGGGCTCATCAGCTGGCCAGATAGAAGTCATCTGGCCCACAGACCACCGGTTGCACATCTCTCCTGAACCTGTTGTCTCTGCAACCAGATCATGTACAGCAGGTAAAATAAGTATTGAACACGTCAACATTTTTCTCAGTAAATATATTACTAGAGGTGCTAATGACATGAAATTTTCACCAGATGTCGGTAACAAAGAAATCAAACATAAATGTCCAGAAATGAAGTTATTGTAATAATGTGGAATGGCACAGGGAAAAAGTATTGAACAC